CCTGACTCTGCCTTCTCAGTGCTGGGATTAAAGGTGTGTACCACTATGCCTGGCCTCCGCTGAACACTTAGCCTATTGAAACATCTTTCCCTTCCTCTCTAGAAAACAGTAGCTTTACTTTCCCTACACAACATACAATGTTCTCAGATGAGGCAGATGCTTTACAACAAAGGTGTTCAACTTTGACTTCTCTGGGTTACATTAGACAAAGTAGTCTTGGGCCACATGTTAAATACACAAAAAGTACCAAAGACTGTGAGGAAAATAGTAGTCTATATATATTTTTCATACCTGTCACTACAAATACGCAAAAATCTCAAATAATAATCATAATTTTATGGCTCTCCATTTGAAGAGTATTTTAAAATAAGCAGACCCCAAGTTTATGATGAGTATGAAAAAATAATCTTATTTAAGTAATAAAACTTCATTCCTTTTATGATATTTTATTATAAACATGAAAAAATAAAGAGCAGCATAAAACTAATGGAATATTTTACATTCTATTTGAGAAACTTATGCCTCAATATCTGATTCAATAGTAGTGTTATATTTACAGTTCTTAGTGACTTCTCAAGGTTCTCAGAAGGTATTTTCATTTCAATTTTTCCAATTTCCTTATTTATTTTAAATTTTTAGTATACAAAATTTGTTTTTCTGATGTAACTGGTACAAATTGCTAATTACAACATGGCGAAATTGTTAAATTAAGCCAGAAGACATCCATGGACTCCAACCCCTTGTTTTTGAATCATAAGAGGCTTAAAATCTCTCAGGATACTTTTAAGGTCAGAGTGAAATGTTATCATTTATAGTTACCATGAAATACAATGGATGTCTATAGTAGATATACAATTGAATTGTTCCTTTTGTCCAACTGAGAATATCTTCCAACTCCCTTCTCCCATTTATAGTTTTCACTCTTGTCTTTCTAGGATTACAAACATGGGCCAAATTAATCTTCCTGCCTTTTATCCAAGGGGCCATCACTGCTGTCAGTTGCTTTTTCCTGCCTCTGGTGATAGTTTGCCTTGTTTGCCATCATTCTGAGGTAATCTTCTTTATTTCACTCTGGAGGTGTTAATTGTAGGTTTAGGTTAGTGGTTGGATAGTCCTACTTCTTAATAGTGATACAAGGAAATTTCAGGTCCCTCTTGAGGTTCTTGACTAAATAAAACAACTGACTTAGGAAAACAGTTTAAGAATGGACTAAAATTAAAGCTTCCGGACAAGGACAATTTTATTAGAGTTTAAAAAAAAATACCCAGGGCAGGCAAGCTGTAAATCTCAGCAACTGCTCAAAAGAAGTGAATGGAGGAGAGGAGGGAAAAAAGCTGTTGGGAATAAATTCTGGGATCCAAGGACTCCACCTATACCACACAAAGAAAAAGAGCACACAGAATGAAAGTAACTTGACATCTTTTACTTTTGCAAAAGGGTGCATTGCCTTATTCAGGTAGCAAACAAGCACACTAACCAGGAAATTCAATGGGTTTTTATCCCAACACAAGAGTACTGTGCCCTTTCCCCACTGACTGGGGTGCAACCTCACAATCAACCTCACAATCTATCACAGTTAGCTAGTTTTAAAAGAATGGGGTATATTTTAAAAAATAGTTGCTCACAGTAAACCTACCGCAATACAACATAAATAGAAGACAGAAGATGAAAACAGCTGCATAATCATATTATTTGAGTTGAGAGCAAAAAAGATTTGTATATAGTTTAATGGCATGAATGAAAATTAAAATAAAAACACGAATACTCCTTCTCATTAGAGATAATGAAGTTCCTGAGTTCTTTACCAAATGTACTCAATTAGAATGTATTAGAAAATAAAGTTACAGTGACATTTAAAACATCTTCATTGCTTTTGAGTCTCTAAATTAAAATGCAAGTATATGTTAATATAATACAATCACTTTGAAGGCAAATTTTAGAATTTTATTATATGTCATTAGAAAATAAAGCATGAAAATATCCATAAAATAATAATTTATATCTCTCTTTCAGAGCATAGAGTTTTATTAATATTTAATTATCTATGATAAATATACAAATGAATTCTTTTTAAATTTTTTATCATATTTATTTATTGTATTTGTGTGTATGTGTGTATGTGTGTGTGTACATGCCATGAAGTGTGTGTGAAGGTCAGAAGACAATCTGTGGGTGGGAGTCAGTTCTCTTTTTTCCCCCTCTGCAGATCCTGGGAATCTGACTCAGGCCATCAGGCTTAGTAGCACAAGCCATTACCAGTTGAGCCATCACACCAGTTCCAGAAATGGATGCTCATACAAAGAAGAAAGACCGCAAGCAGAACTCAAGGCCGTTTGATGAGGCCTCACTTTGAACACCACCACTATGAGCAGGAATTCTTACTGATACAGTATTTCCTGAAGTTATGTTATTTTCATAGGTATAAAATTTTGTATAACTGATATTACCTAATTTAAATATATTTAAATGATATTTTTATACACCTATCTCTATGGCATTTACTTTTTACTAATAAAAAAGCCTTAAAAGCATTTTTGCAGATATGTTGTGTGTGTATTACTTGCTTCTCTTGTTGCTGTAGAAAAAAAAAAAAAAACCCTGATGAAACATCTTAAGAATTGGAGGGCTATTTGTACTCATGGTTTAAGAGAATAATGCATCATGACTGAGTAAGTGTCATGGCGAAAGTTCATCTAGCTGTGGCAGCAGGAGACTGAGCTGTCTGGTCACATCACATCCTATAGTCAGAAGCAAAGAGATGACTGCTGGTGTCCAGGACATTTGTTCCACATTAATCGTTCTTGAACTTCAGTTCATGGAATGTTGTCACTGCCATTCATGGTGAGTCTTCCCTTCCTTGGTTAAACCATTCTGGAAACAATCCCACTTATCAGAAATGCATCTTTTCGGTTATTCCAAAATCCAATCAAATTGGCAATGAAGATTAGCCACCAGAGTTTGGATACTAGTTTTACGAAATGTCACATTACATCTATGACCAACATTGATTCTTCTATTTATTGAAACACTTGAAATAATTTTGAAAACTCTAAATAAATCCTGAAACTCTTCAGAAAGTAGTTAATATCTTTTTGTATTGAAAAATGCATTTTAGGGGCTGGAGAGATGGCTCAGCCATTAAGAATACTGGCTGTTCTTGCAGAAGACTGGGTTTGAATCCCACCACCCACATGGCAGCTAACAACTGTCCATAACTCCAGTTCCAAGGGATCTGACAGCCCTTTCTGTCCTCCATGGGCATTGCACAACATGGGTGAAGTCACCTACATGCAGGCAATGTACACATACACATAAAAATAATAAATAAAATATTTAAAAAAGAAAAATGCATTTTAGTTTAACATAAGACAATCTAAAAATAGCCATCTTGCTTTCATGTGATTTATATTCTCATTGACGCAATCTTGCAAATGTCTTTTTCTTTTACTTCATTTTATACCAAAGTGATCATAAGCCCAGCGTGTTCTATTGTTAGTCTGATAGGTGTATCTCGGGCAATCCACAACAGAGATTTATGGAAGAACTGTTTATCATTGGAGCATGACAGGAGCTTCAGAAGAATGAAGAGAAGTGAGAGCATAACAAGGTTCATCATCAGAAGATCAAAAAGGGATGTTTCTTTCAGTTCTAAGGAAGAGCATACAGATAGTAGTATTCACTGGAGCAGTGCCATTCGTTTATATTGCCATTCATTTATACTACATCTGTGGTACTCACAGCATATTATAGTCACACTCCTTAATCCTAAAACTTTACTGCAAGGAGGTATTTTATAGCTTTTCCTCTCATTCACAGCTTGGGACATTGTAGTTTAAAGGATGTCATTGGGTAGACATTTGCAAACTGTGCAGAAAACAACCAAAGGGACTAAATGTGCTAACTATGACAAGACAATAAAATTTTAAACTTAAAAAATAGTAGTTGCTCAGAAATATAGGTGCTCCCCAAAAGCAATCTCACAAATAAAACCTGATTGTCAAGTGAGAAGTTTTTGTCTCTGTGAAGAAAGGACCTATAAATATCTAGTGTAAATGTATCAGCAAGTCTGGGAGATGGACCAGAGGTTAAATTGCTTGCTATGCAAGTGTGAAGATATGAGTTAGGCTCCCCAGAAGCCACCTAAAGCCTGATGTGGTAGTTTACATCTGTAATCCCACTGCTCTGACTGCAGGATGGGAGGCAGAAACAGAAAAAATTCAAGAAGCTAACAGGCCATCTAGTTTGGCATATGCTGTGACCAAAAACAAAAGACCCTTACTCGAAGTGAAAGGCAAGGCTGACCCCCAAGGTTGTCCTCTGACTGTTATATGAGTGTCATGGCACACACATACCTTCACACACATGTGAACACAAATATATATATATATATATAGAGAGAGAGAGAGAGAGAGACAAATATATATATATATATATGGAGAGAGAGAGAGAGAGAAAGAGAGAGAAATCAAATATTGCTAGTTGAGTACCAGATGGCAGGTCTATGCATTCCATTTGAAATTTGGCAGGTAAGATACTTATATCAGCTGAAATTAGAGAAGAAAATATTTAAAAAATTATTTTTCCAGAAAGATTGAAATCCACTTTCAAATTCTGGTATGAACTTCCAAAGCAAGACTACATTTTCTTTAACTGTTCATAGGATTACGTTTAACTGACAAACATGTCATGATACAAAAACTTGTTCATTTGAATTTGAACTTGCCATAATTTCAGTTTCATTTAGAACACTGTTATGATTCAAAACATTATGTTGAAAAATTGGTTTTCACCTTAAATATGGATATTTAACTCATTTCACTGAGTAATTAAATGACCAAATACACTAAATTTGTAAGCCAGTCATCATCAAGTTCTTGTAAAGTTTGTCAAACAGTCTGTGAGCAGGCAAAATTGAGACCCTCATGCAGCCTCTGATTCCCATTCAAATGTTCTTCAACATTTTTGGTCAATATCTTAGGTCTAACACAAAGAGAGTTCTCTTAAACACCTATTATCAAGTGCTTCCTTTCCAATGTTCTCCTGAATGCATCTTTCACCTCCTTGTTCCTCAAACTGTAGATGAGGGGATTTAACGTGGGAATCATCACAGTATAAAATAAAGAAATCACTTTATTGATATTCAGGGAGGAAGTTGCACTTGGTCGAACATAGATGAAGAAGAGAGTCCCATACAGGATGGAGACAGCTGCCAGGTGAGAAGAACAAGTAGAGAAGGCCTTCTGCCTCCCTTTGGCAGTTTGGATCTTCAAGATAGCCATCAGTATGCAGATGTAGGAGACTATGATGATCAGACCACTGAGCACTCCTATTGCTCCAGAGAAGGCAAAGAGCACCAACTTATTTTTATAGGTGTCAGAGCATGCTAGGGAAAACAATGGGGAAATATCACAGAAGAAGTGGTTGATAACATTTGGACCACAGAATGGTAAGCAAAAAGTTAAAGTTGTATGTGTCATTGTACTTACAAGAGCTATGGCATAAGGCCCAATAACCAGCTGCACACAGACATGCTGGGACATAATAAGAGTATACAGCAAGGGCTTACAAATGGCTATATACCGATCATATGCCATTGCAGCCAGGAGGAAACACTCGGTTGCCACAAAGAGACCAAAGAACCACATCTGTGCTGCACAGCCCACAAAAGAGATGGCTTTTTTCTCTGCAAAGATATCACACACCATCTTAGGAGCTATAGAAGAAGAGGAGCAGACATCTACAAAGGACAAGTGGCTAAGAAAAAAGTACATAGGTGTGTGCAGCCTGGGATCCACCCATATGAGAATGATCATGCCCAAGTTACCCCCCAGGGTCAGAAGATAGATAAAGAGAAATGTAATGAAAAGAACAATCTTCTGAAGGAGATGATCCGTGAGTCCCAGGAAGAGAAACTCAGTCACTGTGGTCTCATTCTTTTCTGCCATTAAGCAGTTGAGATCTGTCAAAAGAATGACAATTATGTTTTTCAAAACATCAACTATGAGAAGCTACAAGTGGTATTTGAAGTCAATGACAGAGTATCATCAATTGATCTATTACAGACAACTGGGCAATGTTGTTGGGATGGGAAGAGAATAGTTCTACTTACTAGATTTGGGAAGATGTGAAAATCTGTGCAAACTTAAGTAACTTACTCTTGAACTATTTGGATTTTGTACCCTCTCTCAAGAGTTTTCTACTACATAATCTAAAACTCTCTTAGATTATAAAATTAGATTTGAAATGAAAAATTACTCTGTTTTTTTTTTGTCTTAATGTCTGATGGAATAAAACTCACTTAAGTAGTTTGAGAAAAACGTCAGCGTGCAAAGTCCTTGCCTTTCAAGTCCTTGTCTTAGAATTGTAATTTGATCCCCAGAACCCATATAAAGTTGTACTTGATGGTTGTGTACTTATCATCCCAGGTCTCTGGAGGAAGGCACATACAAATCCCTGGGGCTTCCCAGCCACCTAGTCTAGCTTACTTGGCAAGTTCCAGACCAGTGAAAGACCCAGTTTCAATAAAACAAGCTTGACAGTATCTGAGGAATGACAGCTGAGGAGGTTGTCCTCTGGCATACACACACACACACACACACACACACACACACACACACCCACTTAAAAAAAAAAAAAAACCTATTTGTGTATACCTTTATTGGGAACACTGTAAATACCAGTGCGGTTAGGACAGTAATATCAAATATCTAAAGTTGTTAAGAATGTATCTACACCTTATTCCTTTCATCTCCAAAATAAAGAAAACAATGATTTCTATATATACATAAGAAGCATTTACTGACTTTAAATATTCAAAATATTTTAATGCACAACACTGAAAATGTACTTCTCAACATCATCATGAAAACTGCACAGAAAATTAAGCACCTGTCAAGTTAAAATAACATAAAATTATTTGACATGATTTCCTATATTTAAAAAAACTTCTTTAAAGGCAATTAATGTGTTCTGTCAACATAAAAGCAGTTTTCCACTTGAGCTATATAAATATTAATGTTTAACTCAATATATTTCCAAATAGTTAATATAATTTATCTTGATCCCCAGAACCCACATAAAAACTGTTCTTGATGGTGTGTGTTTATCATCCCCAGGTCTGGAGAGGCAGAGACGATATAAATCTATGTGGTTTATTTTTACTGTATTGACATCATTGTATTAACGCTGTGTGGATGGATTTTAAGCAGGTAGAAAGACTGCGCTAGGTTTTTCTTGAGTATTATCTATTGTAGAGGTGTTTTTGCTCATGCCTTGTGTCTTTTCATGTGCCTGCAACTATGCTAAGATAGGTATGTTAGGACAAAAGATTGCTATTAGTTTAATAACTATTTGTTTGCTCATTTATTTATTATTTGAATGTAAGTTATTTTAAGTAATCCATAAAATGATCTTAGAATTCATCATGGGAAGCTTGTTTCTCTCTCTCTTTTCCCTGCTCTCTGAATTGCTTATATTTTAATTAATTGACAAATAAAATTGTGTATATTTCTGATCTTAAAAAATTATGCTTCAAAATATGCATGCCTTTTACAATCCTCAACTCAGGGTAACTAGCATGCATTAGCACACATGCACATTGTTTAATGTGATGTGAGCACTTAAAAACCTTTAGCAATTTTTCAAGACTATAGTATATTACTATTATTTGAATATATTATTTGCATAATTATGTATGTATCTTTGAACAGGCAAATCAGTTTAGGAAAAGTCATGCAGACCAACTGCATAGTCTTATAAAATTGAATAAAATATCAAAACCTTATGAGATACTGGATGGGAGAATGTGTTATTGAAGTTCAAATTGTTATTGTTTCTCTACTATGTTTCAAAAACTCCCTACGATCAATAATCCAGTGTACTTACTTCTTTAAAAATATCTTTTCTGCATCTCTTTCAAATACTTCAAAGAAAATTATCATTTTCTAGAACATGGAAGATTCAATTTCCTTCATGGTGGGGGCCTTTCCAAGATGTAGGACTTTCAACATACTTAGTGAAGAAGATGAACTGTCCATGGTCACGAACTTGGTCATGAAGAGAGAATCCCTGAACTTAACATTGACTCACACACTGTACAGAATAAAACACCTTACCCTGAGAGCTTACAATAATTCATAGCCAGGTCCCCAAAGAACTTATGCCTCAAGGGCTTACACCTGAAGGGACAGAATTTAAATGATCTCGGTAGCATTTGAACCAAGTAATATTTCCTAAATGTATCTTATCCCAGTGTATGTGTATGTGTGTGTGTGTTGTGTTGTGTTGTGTTGTGTTGTACTTCTTGAACCCTTCTGTCATCATCTTTTGTTCTATGAGCAGAGCAACATGCCAGCACCAGCTGGGTAGCAATTTGCTGCATCCATTCTGGAACCACATAATTTAAGCATAAATCTCCATCCCAGAGTTCACTGGCTGTCATGCTCATTAAGTTGTTAACACTATCTGTTTCTTACTACCTTAATCTCCAAATAAAGAAAACAATGCTTTCTTTTTTAATTATTATTTTTATTTTATGTGTATGTGTGTATTGCCTGCTTGTAGGGACATGCACCCCTGTCATGCAATGCCCTCAGAGGACAGAAGAGGGTGTTGGAGCCTGGAACTGAAGTTACAGACAGTTGTTAATAGCCATGTGGGTTCTGGGATTCAAACCCAGGTCTTCTGCAAAAACAACCAGTGTTCTTAACCTCTGAGTCATCTCTCCGGCCCCAACAATGATTTCTATAGATACATTTACTGACTTTAAATATTCAAAATATGTGTAATGTACAATACAAAGAAGGTACTTCTTAACATCATTTATTATTATTAAGGATTGAGAACATGGTTGAGCAGATCATAATCAGAAGAAAACATAAAAGAGAAGCTTAAAGTAGGATTTGCTTTTCTCTAAATCTAAAACAAAGTTATTGAACTGCAAAGAAAGTTGGAGTAAATGAAAAAAATTACAGAGAAGGAATTGTCAAGAAAGGCAAAAAACTGTCTTGAAAATTGAAGAAACAAGGAAGAACAGAAACAATAAAGCTGTTTGGGAAGGAAGAGTCCCATTAAAGAGAAGAAAATACAAGAATGGTTTAAGTTACCTTAGTCCTCTCTTTCTCTGAAAGGCTTGATGTGTGTCCCTTGAAGCAGACCTAAGACAAAGTCCCACAATATTTCACCATAGCTGATTTTTATAGTTTTATTAAGTATTGAGCTCAAGAAAATATACACCTGAGTATTAAGTTAGCCTTAGCGTATGTTACATCAAAGAAAATTATCAAACATAGAGAAGGGAATTCCATAATAATAATGGGACCGTATTATTAAGAAGATTGCACCATCCTAAATGTTTGTGTAATGAAAAACAATGCTCAAAATATGTGAAACAAAAACTGGAAGAACTGTAAGGAGAAGCAAATCTAGTCAAAAGTGGAGTGATTTCAATGGAGTTATTAATAAAGACAGAGAAGTCCTATACAACAACTTGTGCACAAGCTGGTATTTACAGAACATTTCAACTGACACCATTAGAATATCCATTGTTATTAAATATACATCAACCAGTTGTCAAGAGAGAACATACTTGAGACTACTTAATTTTTTTAATCTCAATGTACTTAATACAATTTAAGCCATGGGCCTCTGATTCAAGGGACTTCAATTAAAAAGTAAAACCGTTGCTTCCCTGGGCTGCACAACCTGCCAGCCTCTCTCCTGGATAAGTCCAGCGGCCCTCAGCCTCATTGACCCTCCCAGCTCCCCCACCCCATCTCTCCTCCTAGCCTGGGTACTGGCCCAATTCTTGTCTTGGCACCCCAGACATCAGGCTGACCTCTCAGCCCGGAACCACCACTGCCTCCTGATCCTTTGCATCCAGACCAACCCAGGTCCTTCTCGCAGTCCCCAGCAGCCCTCTGAGCCTGGTCCCGCCCTCACCTCCCTCTGCTTCCCTGGGCTGCACAACCAGCCAGCCTCTCTCCTGGGTTAGTCCAGCGGTGCCTTCCGAGCCTTGACTCCCCCAGCCTCATTCACCCTCCCAGCTCCCCCACACCATCTCTCCTCCTAGCCTGGGTACTGGCCCAATTCTAGTCTTGACACCCCAGACACCGGGCTGACCTCTCCTCTGCTTCCTGATCCTTTACATTCAGACCAACCCAGTTCCTTATGGCTATCCCCAGGAGCACTCTGGACCTGATCCCGCCCTCACCTCCCTCTGCTTCCCTGGATGGGCCGGCCACCAGCTGCTCAAGACAAACATTTTCCTGGGTGCTGCTCCCAGGCCAGTCCAGCCCCCAAATTCCTGAGGACAACATCTTTCCTACCAGGGCAGAAATAAATGAAACAGAAACAAAGAAAACAATACAAAGAATCAACAAATCCAAGAGCTGGTTCTTGAAAAGATACACAAGATTGACAGACCTGTAGCCCAGTTAACCAAAAGAAAGAAAGAGCATCTCCAAATCAACAAAATCAGAGATGAAAGGGGAAACATCACAACAGACACCAGAAAGATACAGAACATTATAAGGGAATACTTTAAAAACATATATGCTACTAAATTTGAAAACCTAAAAAAAATGGAAGGTAATCTAAAGGCATGGGAACCACCAAGACTAAACAAAGAACAGATTAACAGCTTAAACAGACCCATAACAAAAAGAAATTGGAACATTAATACAAAACCTCCTGACTAAAAAAAGTCCAGGACCAGGTGGATTTACAGCAGAATTCTATCAGACATTTAAAGAAGATCTGCATCCAATACTACCTAATTTATTCAAGAAGATAGACATAGAGGGAGAACTTCCAAATTCCTTCTATGAAGCCAGAATCACTCTAATACCAAAGCCAGGTAAAGATACAACCAAAAAAGAAAACTATAGACCCATATCCTTAATGAACATAGAAATTCTCAACAAGATACTTGCAAACCTCATACAGA